AGGCTCTTCTCCACCTTTGAGCTGCCATGCTCTAAAGGGGAAGTCCAAAATTAAAAATACAACCGGTGTATAAGAAAATAAATGGGGAGTGAAATAGATGAGGGAAAGGAGTGCTATATTTACACTAGAGTTTTATAGACAACTGTCCTATCCCAATTCAAACCCTGGCCCACAAAGTGAGGGGTGGCAGGTCCAAGGGAGGGAGATTATGTGTCTATTGGACCCACAGCCTTCCACCCCCAACTGCAATAGGTCCAATTTCAAGTCCACCAGGTGAAGAGGAAGGAAAGGTTAGGAACGCAGACACTCATTTCCAAACAAGTCTCCCTTGGGTATTTCTGCCTTGAAGTGGAGACAATATCCATTCTCCAGGTGACAAGCTGAAGACCTTGAGGGTCCTCTCCCAAGTTAACGTTGTCATTTGGAAGTTCCAACCTAGAGATAATGATGTCAGGGCTCTCCAGATTTGGGAAGCCCCCCTAACCGCCGGGACTCTGGCCGAAGTTCCTTGCATTTCTGGCAATAAAAGAAGTCAGGAACATTGGTCTTCTTAATCTTAGCACAGGAGAGGTGGATCCACGTCCCACACAGGCTGCACTCAATCATGGGGCGCCCTGCAAAGGGCTTTCGGCAATAACAAGTGATAAGATCCCATGAGTCATCACCTGGGGAAAAGAAGGTTTGTTTGTTGTTCTGCCTGAACTCTTGGATCTCCAACATACACCTCCCCAAACCCATAATCCCTGCTACCCTACACCTCTCACCTGATTCTACCATGATGTCCTCATCCATCACCCGCATCTCGCCTTCACTGGAGCTGGCATCTCCATCTTGGCTTGTCTCGGTGCTACCTACCTCCTTGCCTTCACTGTCTGTAGGAGGGGCTCCTTCAGGGTGTACAACAGGGGGCCTAGGGGCCTCAGGGGGTGTTGGGAGTACAGGAGCTGGGGCTTCACCCCCAGCTACTGGTGCCATCTCTTCTTCCTCCTCTTCTTCTTCCTCCTCCTCCTCCTCTTCAGAGTCTGTATCACTGGGGGGTGCCCGAGGAGGACCAGGAGGTGGGAGTCTATCCCCCCGCTCTCCCTTTTTCAACTTCCGCTTCTTGCTCTTCTTGATTCGAGACCTTTTTTCCCCATCCCCAGGAGCTGGCCGAGGCCTTCGTAGCACCCCAAAACCAGCCCCACCTCCTGGCCCCAATTTTCGGTTCTTTCGGTCCTTCTTTCGAGGCGGCTGGGAGAGGTCCCCTTGGGAAAGGGACACAGGGGTAAGAGCAGCAGGGGGCCGAGAGGTATGTGTTAGGGATGTAGGAGACAATGGAGATGCCACTTTGGGCCCATCCAAATCAAAGAGAGAGTCCTTCAGCTTCATCTTCTCAAGCAGGGTGGCACTGTCAGGGGCCTGCAGACGAGAGAAAGTAGATCTTGGGGGTCCTGGATGGGTAGGACCTGTTTGAGCTGCCCTTCTTTTGGATGACTTTGCTTTCTTAACAAATGTCTGGATGGTACGAAGATCTGAAGGGGCTGAGTCCCAGCCATCACTGTCTGCTGCACTCTCACCTCGCAATGGAGAGCTAGAGCCAGAGGCTGGCCAGTCACTTTCCTTAAAAAAAAAAAAAAAAAAAAAAAAAAAAAGAAAAAAAAGACAAGACCACAGTAAGCAGAAACCTAATGTCACCTCAGCCCTTCACAAAAACCCAGCCTGAACAAAAGGGATTAGATCAAGCCCAAATATCCCACCCCAACCACAAAATCTCACTGTACTCAAGATTTATCTTCACTCCAATTGCCACAGGCTCTCCTCATAGCTATCTGTGTCACTGCTGCTGAGAACAAGGCATCCCTCCAGGGCTCCCTGCCCTGGCTTCAGAACACTGTACCCTGCCAGTCCAAAGCTGTATTTCTTTAGCCCTTGTTTCTTTACAGCCTTACTTGTTACCATTTCCAGTTCCCTAAAATTTATCCAGAAACATCTTTCATTAACAGCAACCAAGATCACTCCAAAATCTTGGTCATGCCTCTGTTAGCTCCTCTATCACCTCTGTTCAAGTCAACATCTACTGTATATTACTCTCTCATCTTACTCCCGCTTACCCCTCATTATTCTCAAAAGCTTCCAATTTCCCTAATATGTATCATTTTAGGTACTGCTCCTCCAAAGTGATATAATCCTGATTCAAATTAGTTAGTAGTTCTCTTGTCCCTACCTCTTTGCTAGGAGGGATATAACCAGCATAAGCCAAAACAAAACTGCAGAATTTGTTGAAATCCTCAATTGTTCTCCGACGTTTCTCTGGTGGCTGAAAAGAAAGAAGCATGGATCACACTGAAGTCAGACACAAATTTAACACGGACATCTATGAAGAAGGGGAGTACTGTCAGTTTGGGATACTTGCTTGGAAAAGCAAGGGTCATCTTACCTGAGTCTCTGGCTTAAGAGTCGGAGGTGGATCTGTGGATGCAATAAAAGCTTAGTCAAAAGACTAGGAACAAGATGTATAAAACCCCACCTTTAAATCGTGTAGATCCCAAGTGAACCCCTCTTCTGCGAGGTCTCTGCTGGGCCAGTAGGCCCCCAGCTAGGCTGGCCCCGCCCCTACTCCCCCTTCCACCCCAAGAGGGGCGGAGCTTGGGCGCGGCGCCCTCTCGGGCCTCGCTATAACGCTCCCCTTCCCCCAACCGGAGGCCGGGCGCCCCGCCCCCCCCAGCTCCTCCACTCTACTAGATCTCTCAGCGCCCCACCCGCCCTACCGCTCCCGGGCCGAGCCCAGGCCACCGCCCGCCCCCGTCCTTCACACGCGCGCAGAGCCCGGAGTTCCTACCCAGCCGCGCTCCACCGCCCCAGGCCCTCGGAGATCGCACAGGCAGCCCGCCGGCCCCCAGGGTCCAGGATGACCATGCTGAGCCGCTCCCCGCCCTCCGGCCCCTTCTACTCGAGCACGAGGCCAGACGCGCCCCTTACCCCATCCCAAACACACATGGGCACACACACATCCAATGCTACTTCGCGTTCAAGACAGACCTGAGAGCTTGAAGCCGGACGCAGCCCCACCAGCCCCCACCACCGCACCGCACTCCCCACAATTTCGCCGTCCCTCCGCCCCCATCCGGGGCTTTGGCCCCTCCCCGTCTAGAGCGCTCCGGCTCCCTGCCGGGCCCCCGGGCCCAGTTCCGAGCTCCGCCGGCCCCCGGCCGCCGCCACTCCCCGCCTCCGTATTCACCAAGTCACCAGGCTACGGACCCCTCAACTCTAGCCCCCTCCCCACACTCCACTGCAGCCCCCTGCCCACTCGCCCTCCGCAATTCCCAGACTCTAACCCGTGCCGACCATTCCCCCCCCACCGCAAGTAGCCGGTCTTAACCCTCCCCACCCCGCCCCACCGCCCCCTACAACTACCCAGCTCGCCTTGTTTCCCGGCTTTCTCACCCTACAACTATACTGTCCCTCCACCACAGACAATACCAGACCCACAACTACCTGCCCACTCTTCCTAACAATCACCAGGCTATCTCTGGCGGTAACTACTAGGAGCTCCGGCACCACCGTCACAAACTCCCCCACCTCGGGCAACTACCGGGCCCCTCAGACCTCTGCTGCGTCCTCCCTCCTCAACTCTCCTGCACCCAGATTCTCCCAACAGCCCAGCTCCAGGGCCCCAACCCTGGAGCGTGAGGCCCTTTTGGCCCCTAACCCCCGAAGCTCAGAGTTTCCAGCTCCTAGCCCTGTACCCCACACACAGTACCTGATCTCCAACTATCTCAACACTGTCTCCCACTCCTCTTTCTCCAACGTCTCTTAACTAGTCGCTCGCCCACCTCCAGGACCAGGCCCCCGACCCTTCCCCACACTCCCCCGCAGGGCTCGGAGCCCGACCTCCAAGTTTGCCAATTAATTCCACGCCCGCCTCCCGTCTGCCCTGAGCTGGTCCGGAGCTCACCTTCGGGACTGGGCTCCGCCATGGCTTCCAGCATCGCCCCTTCCCCTCCTCCCGGTCCGGCGTCCCCCTCCCCTAAGCCGAAGATCCCAGTGCTGCCTCTGGTGTTCGGTATTCCTACTGCCTCGGTCCACAGAAGTGTCCGCTTCGACCCGGTTAAGACTTCAGTCCGCTAGCCGCTGCCGCCACCTCCCTCTACCACCGCCTCCCGCACTCCCGGACCGGGCCCCCTCCCCCCGCGCCGCCGGCCGCCTGCTCCCTCCTCCTCCCTCCCCCCTCCTCCTCCCCTCTCCCCGGCGCCTACACGCGGTGCACTAAGGGGTTTGTAGTTCCTTCCTGGGCAGCAGACAGGAGACCGCATTAGCCTCCGAAACCTCAATTCCCAGCAAGCCACGGGGCGGCGCAGGCGCAATAAACCACTCCCCGCCTCTGGGGAGTGGCGGGGATTTCGGGAGAAAGGGGGGGTAGGCGGAAGAACGCGCACAGACTAGTGGGAAATGTAGGCTGGGCGGACCCAGAAAGAAGGGATTAGAACTCTCGGCCACCATAGTCTCTTTCGGCCCCGGCTTTCTTCCCCCTGGGGGAAAGTCCCACTTCCGGCCAAGTGAAGAAATGATTACTGGGAAATGAAGTTCTCCTGATGATAATGGCTCCCTCCTCCCACTTTTCTTTCCTGGGTTTTCACTCCACAGGCTCTCACATGTGGGGACAAAGTCTTCAAGTGACAGGCAACTGAAGATAGTTCTTTTACCGCCTCCCACACTTGAACATCTCTTACTTAGTCAAGAATGACAGACGTCCATTATGTTTATATAAAACAGATTTTCAAACTCTCTGTAGGAACTCACAGTAAAAAAAAAAGTTTTCATCAGAATGTAATACACAGGTACACAAAACTGGTCTTCCATTCATAATAAATGGACCGTTTTTAGAGAGAAAAAACTGTATACCAACAAAATAAACCAAATATATTTCCATTTGTCCAAACTACCCCACTTTTTTCCTTGTTTACCACTGAAACCCAGGATACCTTTTAAACTAAAAAAAAAAAGGACAACACAAGCCAAAATTCAGTTCAATTTTGGTTTCCTCTTTATTGACATAACTCCTACCTTCCTTCCACAATTTCAATCCTTTCCATTACCCCCAAGAAAGAAGGTTGTGAAAGGGATTGTTGGGGTTCTGACCCCCAGCCCAGACAGTTAGAAAGGGAACAGAAACCAAAACAATCATTGGGTGTGACAGATTGACAATCAAGAAGTCTAAACCACAGTGGGAGAGGATGGTTTATAAAGAAAGGGGAAGAAAGGAGAAAAGAAAGGTACAAAAGGCCATGTCCACCATTACCCTCCTGCTAAGAGGGGCTGGACAGAAAGCCTTAATCTTTAAGAAGTGCAGGTCCTGAAGAAGGGAGGCTGTGTTTGAGCCTGAAGGAGGTGGAGATCAGGAAAGGGGTGCCACCTCTCTCTTTGTAGAATGAAACCTCCCACCTCAAGGGTAGCAGCTTCACAGACCGTAGACACTTTCATCACTGTAGGCAATGTATAGAAAGAAGTCTTCTTCATGGTGTTCCTAAGAGGAAAACAAAAATGGGTTTCATGCAAGAGCGATCAGTAACTTAAATCACTCACTGTTTAGATACACCTTGACAAGGAACTCTTTAAAAAGAAAAAAAGACACCACCCCCCCCCCAAAGTGCCTCACTGACCAAATCCTAGCAGCCAAGCATTATTTTCACTGGAGCAGTGGTGAGCAGAAAGATCTCCAACTGTTCTCTGACATCTTGGAATAGAAAGAGGAACTGGAAAACGTCCCCATGGAGACAGTTTCTCAAGCTTACTGATGTGTCCAGTCCTTCTTTCTCACTACTATGTGCAAATCCCAATTCAGGACAGTCATGAAATTTTAAGATAAATTTTAAGGCAGGCCAGTTGTCCCAAGAACAGCAGACCTAAACTTTCTTTCTTCCCATCAAGTTCTCCCAAGACTCCTCTCTACTACTACCCAGGCACCATACCTGGTATAGCTGACCCATTGTGGCACTGGTGGGTGGAATAACATTGTTGACAAAGAAAAACAAGGCGTCCTCAGCTCGAAGATGAATTCGCTTCCGGATCAAGAAGTAGAACTGACCAACTGCCAAATACAAGGTACAAGAAAGTCACAGAGGTCATGACTTAGAAAATCTGCTGGTAGATGGAGTCCCCGCCCCATGGCACTCTCACAGGAAGCAACTTCAGGTTAGCAAATTCAGGTTCCTACCTGTGAGATCAGAAGGCACCAGATATTTCTTTTTGTCCAGGTCCCCTATCCGAGCTTTGGGAGCCTTTTCTACTATCACCTGATAAAAGAGAAAATGAAAATTATTTGACATAAGGAATCCAGCCCACAGATGCACTTGTCAAAAATTCAAGCTACTATATTCCCGAATTTAAATCTACTCCAGACTCAATTCTTTGTCTCTGTACACGCGGTGCAGCACTAAGTCCAGACATCCTGACCTCACTTGGCTCACCTCAATATCCACAATCAATCCGTGAATGATGTGTCATAATAAATAACTACCTTACCCAGAGAAGCCTGATGATTCGTCTAGGCCGGCTACAGTCAAATCTTTTTTTTTTTTTTGGCGGGGGGGGGGGGGTCGGGAAACAAACTTAGGACCCTTTGCTCGCCAGGCACGCGCTGTTCCGATGAAATATGTACCCAGCCTACATAGTCACTCCTGAAAAGCAAGGTAGCTAGCCAGGCAAATGACCGTGTATATATGACGCTCAGGCTGTCAAAAGCTAGTCTCCACGCATGAATGCCAAAGCTTTTCTCCCATCCACATCCACTCTCGTCCAACTCCACTGCTCTGCATTCCTCTCAACCCCGAGTCCTAGGGATAACAGTTTCAGGCGCACTCGCAGCCCCACTACAGATGGTAGCCTGACTCCCGCGCGTTGATCCCACATCCAAGCCCAGACTGCGGCGTCAGCGTCCCTTGCCGCGGCCCGAGCTACTGTCCTCACCGGAACCCGGTCTGGGTATTTTTTTCGGATCTTCTCGCCCTCAGAGCGGCGCTTCTCGAACGGATGCTCCTCTTTGTACACGAACTTCATCCTCCCGGGAACCGGGCTGGACCGAGCTAGGCTGAGGGAACCCGGGGAGGGGGGGTCGGGACAGGGGGCGGCGGCGAAGGCAGAGACGCGCGGGCGGACTCAGCGGAGCGATCCACGAATTTGCGCCACTTCCCTATTCACCAACCCCGCCCCCGACCATGTCCGCCTGCCCCGCCTGCTGAGATACGCCACTAGCCTAGCAGCTAACGCCACTATTGTAGCACCACCCACTGCCCGACCGCCCCACGCTATTAGCGTAATCACTTTGGAATCAACTTGTGAGCTGCGCAGAGGACGTAGCAAAGGGTGGTTGGCTTTTGTTATCGGTGAATATAACTGAAAATAACTGAAAACCCTTTCCCGACCTCCTCCTCCCCAAGAAGGTGGAGATGAAAAGGGGTAGTTGATAATCATAAGACCTAGTTCTCTAGAAGTTCTTTTAGGAAATAACGTAGAAAAGCTGAAACAATTACAGGCCATTCACGAAACGTATTGCTGCGCTGAAGGCGGCCGTTGACACCAAAACAAAATAGTTCCCAAGTGGTGGGGATGAACTCAAAATAGGAGGGAAGAAAGAAAACAGATGTTCAGACATACATATAGAACGCCTAGAATCCAAGGATAAGCGGACCAATAGGGTCTAGAAATAAGGTCCTATCGGGACTAGACCATCGCGGAGGAACACAACCAAGAGTTGTAGTCGCGAATCATGTGATCGCTATGAAGGGCGGGGCGTCACGTGGCGAGCGTGAGCAAGTAGAGCCGGTCCCAGAAGGCGGGGCCACGGCGAGAGCCGGGAGAGAGACGTCAGCCCCGCCCCGCCCCTGGAGGCTGGGATGTCAGCCACCTGGGGGCAGAGCCCTTACAGTCCACATCAAGTCCACGTCAGGCCCTAGATGAAACCCAGCCTTTTCCAGCCATAGGCCCTTTGTCGCTCCCAAATTTCTCATTCAGCATCCTACTGCTCTGTCCTCCAGCAGTGTTTCTCCAGGGTATTCCCCATTGAAACATCTGGTATCAGCTGTTCACTTCACATCCCTTCTCAACCCCACCTTTCCTCCTCCCCCCAAAAGCAATATTCCCCTCTGGGAGAGGGTCAACTGTGGTTTACTTTTTGTTTTTGGTGCTGAGGACCGAACCTAGTGCCCGGTTCTAGGAAAGAGTTCTACTGCTGAGCTAAATCCCCAGGACCTGGATTGTGAACAATTAACCTACCCCCCTTCATTTCCCAATACCCAAGAGAAGGACCTAGGGCAGCTTTGGTTTCAAAGTTATAATGCACGGTTTAAAAGAGGAAAGGGGGGGAAAAAAAAAAGAGCTGGTTACAAGCCTGAGGGAATCTAAGGAGAGAAAAACAGAGGGAAAGTAAAGGAAGAAGTTTGGGGGATGATCCAGTGGCCCAAAATCCCAATCTCCCACCCACAGCCCAGCCCTTGGAGCAGGAGTGAAGAATTTAGATCAGTTTTGTACGAGAGTTTTTAAAAAATCAAATCACAACAAAGCTGACTTGGCTTCTCTTTGAGCCTCCTGGATCACAGTATGTGTCTCTCACTCCGGCCAGTCCTGCCTCCACCAGACAGTTTCTGCTGTCCATGGCTTCCGCCTGTCTCACTCTGGGGTTTCCATGGAGTGTGAACACGAAGTTAGTGAGGCTGCTTCACAGTCTGGCCCATGTGTCCATCCAGACTCCAAGTGGAGTGTAGGGCTTCCAGGGCAGTGAAGGTTGGGAGGGGCAGACCCTGCCCAGGCAGTCCTCACATTGGACAGGGCATCAGCCAGCATCCCAAAGCCTCACCCTCCCTTCCCCCCCCACCCCAACTCAGGTGGAGGGGGAGCAGCTGTCACCAGAGCCTATGTTGGTGAAGGTTTCGGCTCAGCACGGAACGAACATCAGCGGTGAACCTGGGATGACAATAACGTGCATTGGTGGAGTACCTTATAGTTGAGATATTCACAGCACTAGCACACAGCAGGCCTCACTGGAGATGTGGGGCAGCATTTATCACCACTTTGACATGATGAGGTAAGTTCAGTGTGTCCAAAACCCACTGGCTAAAAGTGATGGAGTACAACCTGGTCCAAACTCAAGTTCTCAAGGGAAGAGAGATCGGTAAGTTAAACAGGACAAACATTTTTATTCTCTTAGGATCCTCCCACAACCACCTTTCCTCAGAAATCCAAAAGCCCGATTAACCTTACCTGAGGGCATCCAGCATTGGGAGCAGGTTGAGAAGGGCTGTGTCACTGGGGTCACTGAACCAGGATTTGATGGGGATGGCATTGTCTAAGGTGGTGAAAATACATATAAGAAGAAACAAAGGATTCAAGAGCACCTGAGGGTTTTACATGATATTTCTTTACTTAAATTTTTTTTTTTCCTTCCAAGCAAAGCATGGTGGTGCATGCCAATAATCCCAGTACTCAGAAAGCTGAGGCAGGACTGTTCTGAGTTTAAAGCCGGCCAACCTGGATCACATAGTAAGTTGAAGGCTAGCCTGAATTACATGATGATACCGTCTTAAGATACTAAAAACAAAAACTTTTATTCTATCTCCAAAAACCTAAATAAACAACTTCCTGATTAGCTTCATAAGAGTATAATCATGGGGCTGGTGAGATGGCTCAGTGGTCTAAAGCACCTACTTAGAACAAGCTTAGCAAAGCACAGGGACTGCGGTTCAATGCCCCAGCACCACATGCCAGCCAGCCCCGCCCCCAGGCAAGCTGAGCTGGCCACACACACACACGAAAATAAAGTATGAAGATTTATTTCAAAAAAAGGTATAATCAATTTTTTTTATATAATCAAATACCTTTTTTTTTTTTTTGTGGAACTGGGGATTGAACTCAGACCCTTGCGCTTGCCAGGGAAGCGCTTATTCTACTGAGCCATCACCCTGGCCCCTTCCAGATCTTATACTAGTTTGAAGCATCTCATCAAACTTATTGCTATTGTGCCTCAATTGAAACATAATTAATTTAGGATGTCTGATTTAGGAAATGCAAGATGGGTGTGTCACTGGGGTCACTGAACCAGGATTTGATGGGGATGTCTCATCTGAAACAAACACAACTTGCACTTGGGCCTAAAGTACACCAGCTCTCAAGAACCAAGGCCCATTATCTCCTGCCTCCTACTTCCCTGCATTCAACATATGTAAAGGATCTGGAAATAGGGCTCAGAGGTAGAACACTTGCCTAGCATGCACGAGGCCCTGGGTTCCATTCTAATCATCACCAACAGAAAAAAAAAAAAAAAAACCTCCACAGACCATATCCTGGTCCTGCCAGACTCACCACCTTTCCTCATACCTGGGTGGCTCCTGTATGCCCCTGGGGAGTTATCCAGGATCACAATGCTGGAGAGGTCACTGTGGACCACAGAGAGGTCCTTGATGTAACTGCCCAATTCCAAAGTGCAGTGCTGGAAGGCAGGGGATTATGCAGCACACCTCCTTTATGCCTGTTCACACCCCCACCAAGTCAGTTACCTCAAACCCAGAAACTTCCCTGGTGGCCTGCCTCCCAAGCCTCACTCTACACCTGGATTCTATCCCCTTACCTGCCTGTAGTATCTTCTCTTCAGAATGCTTCTGCTATTATCCAATTTATCTGCTACTGCAGAGCCATAAATTTCCATGCTTGCTGTAAAGACCACCAGCTCATACCATTGACTCACCTGAAATAGATTGGGAATTCAAGAGGTATCAGATGAACTACTCATTCATTTAACACAGAGTTCTCTTTCAGCCTAGTCTTTCAAGCCTTCTAGCAACAATATCAAACGTCTCCGAGCACACAAAATTCTGTACCCACTCTCCCAAACCTTCAAATTCAAGGAATCCTATACTTTTAAGGTATAGAAATGGAAACACAAAAAAGCAAATGTTTGTGGAAAATAGAATTACATCAGTACCACAAATGAATTCTGTCCACTCAAGTCATTCCCTGTATTCCTATGGCCTCCTCCTCTTCAAAACTACCACCACCCACTTCTCCTTACCCCTTCTTCTAAATCACTTGAATTCCCAGAGTCCTATACCCAGTCCTTCATCACAGAGCTTCCTTTAGCATTCATACTCTCACCACTTCTAAGAAGAAATCCACATGTGGCCTCTTGTGTACAAAAAACCGGACAGGATGTTTGTCTATCACCACCTGTACATGAACAGGGAAGGACCAGGTAAGTCCTGGGCACTAGGACACAGGCCCAGAGAATACCCTAACTCCCAAGGGCTCCTGCTGTCCTTCAGACTGACAATGATGCCAGAGCTTGAAAACTAGATGCTCTAGGACTTAGAAGTGGAGCCCAAAACTGGACACAATAACAGATGTAACCACTGCATCACTCCCCACCCCCACACACCTTAAGGATGAAATCAGGAGGTGTTCCAGGACGCACAGTGGGCCTCAGGACCCCATCATGGTGGGAGTGAATGAGTGTCTCATCCAGATCCAGCACCAGGATCTTCCTTTTCACCTGGGCTGAACCACAATGGGAAGGGATAATATGAACTGACCTCCAGAAAAAGCCAGTATCCTACACCTCAAAGTCAAGGAGTCTTCCCAGGCAGCATACTTACCTAGCCGATTCCGAGACACAGGAGATAATGGGAGAATGTCATATCGAACAGTTTGGTACTGAATTACCTAAGATATCAAGAGAGAGGATTAGAACTGACAAGGAAATCTTCCCCAATAACAGTAGCAGGTAACAAATATTGGCATTTACTATATGCTGTGCACTGTATGATTTAAGATTTTTCATTTAATCCCTAAGACAATCATAATAGGACTGGAGGAAAAATCAGTGAAAGAGCAATTACCTAGCATGTATGAAGTCTTGGGTTTCAATCCCTAGAACCACTAAAATAAAACATAAAACAATCCTAATAATAATAACAGCAACAATAACAATACTGATTATCCTTGTCTTACAGATAAAGAAAACAAAGGGCTTTTTTTTGGTGGAACTGGGGATTGAACTCAGGCCCTGCACTTATTCCACTGAGCCATCTCCCCAGCCCCGAAACCAAAGTTTTATGAGCTAAAATACCCGAGTCCACACAACTACACCATA